TATCTATGCTTTCCTAGTAGCTGACGCTGTCAGACTCTCGAAACGCTGGTATACGGTACCACAAAGTATGAACGCAGCCTGAACGCAGCTCAGTTGCTATTATAACCCACCTGATTAGCTCTACTTCCGGGTTTGAAAGCCTCTAGTTTAATTTGGAAAGAGAAGCCAACGTTTGCAGTGAAAGAGGTACTATAGGCGGTCCAGGGCTAGCCGGGGTTCTTTTTTTGCAAATATTTGTCAACATTATGATTCATTTACTGTTTTCCCTGTTCTTAGATCTTTCCATATTCAGCACGCCGTGCTGACAGTACTGGATGCAGAGTCACGCCTCGATCGGGATCGTGTTGTGCTTTACGGTGCCTCCCATGGTGGATTCCTGGTATCTCATCTCATTGGGCAGTACCCGGTTAGTTTTTTTTTTAATGAAGGGATGAATGCTTTCAGGAGAACATGTGAAGCACACATGAAAAGTCTAAAACGCGAGCACTATAGCTCTACAATTCTAATGAAACTTGGTTCTTAGTCCACCCTGGACAGCTCGGGGAAAATAGACTAGTTCGGCGATTCCTAACATCGCCCTATCGAGTGCAAGCAGCTCCTCTAAGAAAATACATACACCTGCTCTTCTGATTGACCTCCAAGTATAAACCCGTTGATTCCTCGGAAACTGTGGCTGTCCACAGCTGTGCATTTTATGAGATAGGTAAGACTACGCTCGACATTGATCAATCCTTTTCTGATAATGAGATGCGCCGTTTCTCAAATATCATGATGTTCTCAACGCGTGTTTGACCCGTGGACTCCAGCTTATCGGAAATTAGTGTTTATGTCTCCCGCACATGCTCTACAGCAGTTCATTGGTTCCTATGTGGGCCTGGGCCGAGATTCGGTCCTGAGCTCCATCCGCAGTTTGCGTGGTTGACCTAGAGACGTTGTCTTAGCTTGAAATGAAGAAATGTGCGGAATGATGAGGGACGGGATTTATAGAATAATGAATTCAGTAGAATTAATTCTTACATTTTCACGATATTCTATTATTTCAGGGATTTTATAAGTCCTGCGTCGCACACAATCCAGTACTCAATATGGTTGCGATGCATGAAATCACCGACATACCGGAATGGTAAGTGAAAGAATTACTCCTAAGTTGCAGTCTTCAAAATATCACCTAAAAGGCAAAAGTTCGCGGGACCGACAGATGGTGGTAAGAAGCTCAAGTACGAACCGCAAAGTGAGATCTGATTAAAAGGAGAACAAAAAACACGAAAGTAGCTGGTCCGGCGAAGTGCTCATATTCGGGCTCTATGGCGACTGCAATCTGGACCAGAGAAGCGTGTTTGTACGGATCTAAGCGCTTTTGGTTTTTATCATGCGAGTTTCAGCTCTTCGCCCTTATATGGCACTGTTCACTTTTTGAATGGAGAGAGGGAGTTAGTAGACTGACTGTTAGCACCATAGCGCTACAAGCTAGGGCCGCTGGGGGTTTGGGCGGGGCCTACGAGGAGGGGCTCGATGGGCCTAGTCGTCGTTCAGCTTCCACCGGAATTCTTGCAAGTTTTTACTTTTCGAATGTAGCACAGCCTCCACGATCGCCTGCCGGGTCATCCGACTTATTTGAGAGATTATAACTCACTAGGGAAGGTCGTCAGGTCGAAGTGGCCGTTTGTAATGAGATGTAGCTCACTAGACGTGGTTTTGGACGCTGATCTCGAATCTGCCTTTGAAATTTGCAAAGCGATTCTCTGAAAGGAATTATGATGGCTTGTTAGAATTAAAATGAAGGAAAACGGAGTCGAGCGCGGTTGCCAGCCAGTTCGCATGAATAGCCGGGAAGAACCTTACGTTCAACGGCGGCATGGTGTGATGTAATGGTCTTGCTTCGAGGGCATGCGATGAAGGGTTCGGATTTCTGGAAGGGAACTTCTTTTGCATTTTGTGGGGAATGTCTCTTTTAAGTCTAGAAAACACTCAAACGCCAAATGGGTGCCATATTCGTGTTCAGGGAGCAAAACTACCCTTGGGACAAGTTTCTAGCCAGATGTGAGGTTTTGACCTAACTTTGAAAAGTGCGGTAGCAGTTGATCGAATGATGGTCACCAATAGTTCCAGGGCCAGTCTCTTGTCGATTGCTTGTCTTTGGACAGAATTTGCTTTTAGATACCAGGAAAACTGGAGCAGTAACAACATGAATGCGTAAGAAGTGGCAAGACGAGGCTTTGTGCAGGAGAATGTATCTGCAGCTGAATAGGTGTGAACATCAACTGAACTAACCCATGGATGCTTCACTTTTCGAAGTCAGGTCAAAATGGCAGATTTGGCTAGAAACCTCTACCTAGGCGTAGTTCGCCCCGATAAACACGAATGGCACTCGCTCAGCGCGAAAACGCTGCACTGCGCGCCAAGGGCACCTGTACATCCTAAAATTCTCCTAGATCATGATGCACTAAGCGCGCCAGTAAGCGAACGCAAACTGTTTTTCAGGCAAGTCAAGGAGAGCGCTAATGTAGAAGCGACGCCACAACCACTTTTTGCCACGTTTGCGCTGGAAGCAAAAAAGTTAAGCTCAGCAGGGATCCGATCCCATGACCTGTTGCGTGGTAAACGCGGAGGGAAAAGCTCCATAACTCCGTTCAGAGAATCGCTTTGCAAATTTCAAAGGCAGATTCGAGATCAGCGTCCAAAACCACGTCTAGTGAGCTACATCTCATTACAAATGGCCACTTCGACCTGACGACCTTCCCTAGTTAGCTTATCGCGAAATGCCTCCAGAAAAGGCTTACCATAGAAGGTAAATACACTATAGCTGACTGAGCAGCAGCTTTCTCCATGTTTAACATATGAGTGCTATAAGGCTACAGCGTAAAAGCCGTTAAAGACAAACCCCCGCGATTGTTTGTTGTGGATAGCGGATAGCGTCAAATGACTATCCAGGGAACAGAAAAGCAAGCAAGATAATGGATGCAAATAACACTCTAAATCAGAACCTGGCAGCCGATTCGGAACAGTTCTCCGGATCCGCTCGTTTTGCGCCTGCAAAGCGATATCTTGCCGCTTCTGACTCATAAATAGTCTCTTCTGACTCATAAATAGTCTCTTCGCGTCATAGAATGTTACTGCTAATAAAAGAAAAAAGAGGAGAGACATGGGTTAAAAAATTGACTATGACGGCGAAACAGAAGATGGCCGCGGATAATTTTTGGAGACTGAGGACAATCTACTTGTCACAAGGAGTAACGCCTAAGGGTTTCTCCGAGCACGCGGGGTCCGTTTTGACTGAAAGGGAAGGTGCTGTCCTCATCGGCGTTTGCAATGCTTGATTACAGCGGTAGTCAATGAGATTGAGCAGTTTATGCTGGATATTGCAGCGGATCTATAATAGTCGAGAGGTTGCTAAGTTTCTGTTTACATGCAATCTGCGCTATTCCTCCCTCCATATAGTATGTACGCAGTTTTCCGACCACAAAGAAAGCGTTCCCCTCGCTAACTCTATTTAGCGACAAGAAGCTAATTCAGTATTATGCTGCGGTCTACCGTAACCCAAGCGGCGCCCAGCTCAATTGTGAATCCCGCAGTGGGACGTACGTATAATCTGAACTTTACGGCCAGTAAACGCTTTGAGTAACGTGTCGGAAACTCTTGCATATACTCGCCTTTCAGGGATGAACGGGGAATTCTCGTGCATATTTCACTTATGGTTTGTTTTCGTTAGACGGAATGCCTTTACTGTTGGCATATGCGCAGCGTATGCAGAATATACGAACCACTAGATCGAACAATTCTGTTCATGTTGACCATACTTACACTTAATAACTTTTTTTCTGAATGCTATTTGCAATTGGGGAATAATTCACGATCGAATAATAAAGTATTTTAAGCTTACACAGAACAGAATATTTTCTAAGCAAGTCCCGTGCTTTCCTAACTTAGTGGCATGAATTTCACTGGTGCTATAGTGATTGGAAGAAGCGAAAAACTTCACCTATCACTAGACATAAAAAGTAGTGATCTGATTACTGACATGACATTTTTCGTGACGATACCATCTGGCGCCAGTTTGGTGCAACTACAGTTCAGACTCAGTTCGCTACAGACTGGTAGTTAGATTTTTTTTTCATTGGAGAGGTAATCCAGGGTCTTAAGTGTAAACACGACTTGGTTCCCAGTGCTGACAAGAAACTAGTGACTGGCAGTACCAAATACTCCTTTAGACAACCTTTTATGGAGTTTTTAACCGAGAATTTCCTGCACATCGTTGGCGGGCTGTGCCCAGCAGGTGCCCGTGCCTCTTCTAGTTTCCCTCAGTGAATGTTTGTTCTACTTCAGTGGCTGATTTCACTAATGTGGCTAGGGTTTGTGAAAAAAAATTAATCCCAGGTTGAAAAGTCGTAGTTGACAGCGTGACCGACTACATGCAAGTACCACCTGTTCCATTTTTCGTGGTGATGAGGCTAGTAATTCGAAAGGCAGTAGCCACTCAATTCAGATGTTTACGTTAGCGAGCTTTTGAAGCGTTTTATCCCCATTGTATTACACCAAGCGTGCAACTGCACACAAGTGCTTGAAGCGAAGAGTATAGATCCAAGTCTATCCGTACATTGAAATCCTCACGGTGACTAATTCCGAACAGACCGTCTTCTTCTACCAGCAACGGAAATTTATTTTTATTAGTTTAATGGCCGTCGCCTGATGTTTCATGCCCACCGACGGGCGGAAATTAAGGGCGCTGTTTTGAGGTTACGGTGATCGCGGTCGGTAATAGTGTAGTTAGCTTCTTGTCTCTTACTTCAGCAGTGGAGAAACGAATTGGTAGCTCTGTCAGTATTAAGGCCTCGTGTAATTCGTGAGTAACGCAGTTATATATACCTAAGTGACATTAGGTGTGAGACATTGTGCTTTCCAAAACCAGATTATTTCCAATTTCCCTTGTATTTTGGACATGTAGGTTGAGGGTACAGGAGAGGAACGGCGACTGGACGGTGCTGACTGAAAAACAACAAAAAATGATGTTCGATAGTTCCCCTATCGCTCATGTGGATAAGGTTTGTTTGCTGAAATTTTTCCATTGCTCTGATATTTTGCTCTCGTAGAATTACCGCTACATGTTCATAAGGTAAGTTTTATCTCAGGTTATCACCCCATATCTTCTACTCATCGGTGAGAAGGATCTGCGGGTGCCTCCTCATTATCGCGCTTTCATCCGGAATCTTCTAGCTCGAGGGATCCCATGCAAGTACGTGGAACTTATAATTGCAGTAGTCGCTAACTGCAGCGATAAACAGGAATTTTCAGCTATGTTAGAACACTTTTATTGCTTAAAGGCAGTTGGCACGATAAATCCCCCAAGACGACTAGGATTAATACGCCTGGCAGGACGGAATTCCGCGACCCTGAGCAGGCGCTGCATAATGCCTTTTCCAAGGAAGGTGCCCTTATAAGGGCCCTATCAAGCCACAACATTCCGACCCAAAACGCCCGCCCGCCCACAAATGGACGACCGTTCCTGACGCTCTAATCGATTCATTTGCTAAGCAAATTATGAAGCGAAGGGATTGGTATGCTGCATGGATATATGAGTACACATATGCAGCCGTACCTTCGGTAGCGGTTATTGGCAAGATGCCTACAGGAAACTCGTCCAAAATTGATTTTTAACACATTGAGAACGGAGGCTCTTTCTTCGCAGGATTTTGACCGTTTCACTCCGTTCTTTCGCCATTTCCCCACTATATAGCGCCCTACTAGCATTTTAGGCCGAGCACCAAATCATCGTGCCAACTGCCTCTAACACTGTGCTATTTTGAGTCAGGAGTCGTGATATAACTGTCATACGACGCACAAGGCGTAATATAAATATTTGTTCCAAATAAAAGCGAAACAGTCAAAGAATCGCACGGCCCAATCTGCTTATAGCTGCTTCAGCTACTACGGTATAGTTGCCTCCATGGTAGCCTTGGCTTGAAATAGTTCCCGCCATCTCAGGTGGATAGTGGCGTTCAGTTATGAACGTGTAGTCGCTAAGTGACCCTTCAGGGGAGAAAAGCGAAAAATCATGGAAAACATTCTTTGGCAGCCTCATTGTACGAGTTCTTCGGACCTGCTTATTTCATGGAAGAGCTGACGGGCAAGAAGATAATCGCTACAATTGCCGCTTCGTCCCGGCGCGCGCAGTGGTGCTCCGAAGTTTCCTCAACTTTGCACTACTTTTTCGATTAGTAGCATAGTAGAGTTGTATGTAGGCTAGTAGGACAATGGGTGGACATGCTGTGTAGTGTTTTGGCGATTCCCGACCAATACACCTAAATCGTCGCCCATTGGCGGGGCGCAAACTTCGACGCGACGGCACTGACCAATCACAATGCTTCTTGACATACCCGGTATTCTTTATGCCAGCACGCGAATATCCTTGCGCTGCCCTCTGCCTCACTAATGGCTTACGCTTCACATATGTTAATTGATAATGCGATAAGTACGTTTCCAGCAGCTGGAAAAAGCCGAAAAAAAAAACGTGTTTGTAAATATGAATCGGTGTGAGAATAGACTTTAAGTCTAGTGGGGCCCGTTACAACTATGGAAGGCGTCCAATGCCGCTTGGCTTAAATCGTTTCTGTCGTTGTTGCGCTCTTAGTTTGACTGCGAATTCACGGAAGTGGGACAATTTTAGAGACAGCGCAACATCACTACTTGAACAAAAAAAGGACGCCTACAGCGCGGCGAGTGTCTTTGGAAAAACTGAGTAGTCTACCCTTCGCAGGCAAGGCTCGACATCCATTTACACTTGAAACTTTCGGCGTCCACCAATCCCTTTTCGAGATGCGCCATGCATTTCTATTTCACTCAGACTGCCGGCATGGACTTGCAGCGGCAGTGTACAAAATCTGGCTATCATCCTACCAGAAAAAAGTCGTCCTGGCAGCCTCTTTTTACTCTGTGTCAAAGTTGACGTAGGCTCCTCTAGTTATAAGCGCGCGAGACCGCTTCGATGGTACGGGTAACGCGAGGCCGCCGTGACTTCAACTCTCGGTGCCCGGAAAGCGGCCATGAGCAAGTTTGATATCAATTAACCGGCCTCGGAGTAATAGAGGACTCCATTGGCCGGAAGGGCGACCGACCCGAGATGTGATCTTGTAGATTTGCTAAAGATTTTGCAGATTTGACCTAAGCGGCGCTGTCTGTGAATGCATCACCTCCACTTTTTTTGGGAGGAGGGAGAGGCAGGAGGAGAGAGGGTTACTGCATAACTACCGTAACAGATTATTCATATTTGCAAAAACTATGCATGTCGTAGAGCAAAGATCTTCTCGATTTTTTTTCACGTAGTTCAAACAACAGTTTTGCAGTGAACAGATACTTCACTCCTCTTTCTGAAGAGTGTTATTTACAAAGACTTTAGCCTTAAGAGCTTCTAATTAATTCCTTACAGAGTTCTTACTTATCCATCATCTGCGCATCCAATTGATGAAGTGGATGCTGACGCGGATGCCTCAATCAACCTCATCAGATGGTTCCAGAAGGCGTTCAAATAAATCCATGTCCATGTTGTTATTTTGATAACTCATTTCTTCGATTTATTTTGTTCGTTCCTTTTAGCATCACTAATTTATAAGGATGAAGATGTTACTATATATAATAAAAGATAGCGAATTGTCCTATGCTCATATTATCTCGTTCATGTGTACTGTACTGACATTCATTCTTCTGTCTTGTTACTCTTGTGCTTTGAACTTGCTTCCCACTAGAACTCTATCACGTTCGTTAACACTGCATGTTTACTGATTCATACATTCCCCTATCTGAATGAGTACTGCTCCCATCTTACAGTGAATATTTGATAAATTCAAAAGACACCATAGATTCCTTCGCTATAATTACGGATAGCACGGATCGTGAACTTTGTAAGGCAGCGTTCAGACTTAGCGGCAGCAGCGCTTCGGTCAGGGCACATCGGTTGGG